TCGCAGCCACATGTAAGGCCTTGGCTCCGATAATTCGCAGAAGGCAGTGACATGCAACAGATGCACAGATTTCGTTTCTGTGAGGGTCTGCAAAAGACATGACATCCGTTGAGTCTGCAGCACGTAGAACAGCCATCCCACCACACTCAGAGCCAACAGCACCTTCATGCGAGCGAGTCTCTGCTTCACGGATTGGAGAACAAGCTGTGTAAAGTGTGCAGTGAAACTAGATCAAGACATAAGTCTTGTACAAGTAAAAACTTTGAGCCCGTTGGAACAAACTGTATACGTGCCCAATGTGCTCCCATGCAATGTCCAGAAGACAAAGACACGGAAGCCAACAAAGGAGCTCCAGGTTGAAGATGTTCCAGGTTCGTTCGTGTTCCCTTCCTGGTACAAGCTCGTGAGAATTCAAGCGATCTGAGTCGGCAAGCACCTGCTTGGTACCTGATAAATAACACAGGGTCGAACTTCATAACTTCCAACAGTATCACCCGCACCAACCTTGACATGGAGCCTCGAGTCGATCACGATAGCTAGAACCTAGAACGCCTAAGAGTCCTCGCTTGTCGATTGACTTGCTGGAAACTCGCCTTGAGCGCTTTGCCGTGCATGAAGTTGGCCCACTGTGTGTTCCTTGGAGTCGCTTCAGACGTTCAAAAGCCCTGGGAGAGTAAGCGTCAGAAGCAGAGCTTCATGCTTGTAGATGCACATATCTTCCTGCTCTGTGCGGTCGATATTGATCACTCCTTCGACGAGGGCACGGAATCTGAGCAGATGAATGCGAAACAAGTGGTCCTTGAAAGCCAGCTTGGCGGACTCGGTGCTTGATGTTCATGGCCTTGTCTGTCCCGGCATTAGCTAGTAATGATGCACCTCTTTGCTGATCTTAGGATATCAAGGACGTGGCCAACTCCTCCCAGCATGGCCAGGTGATTGTTTTCCTCCTTGGCAGTTTCTTTAGCATATCGTCGTGCATGACCATGCTACCCTGTCTTGGCACATCTGACACGTAATCCGCACAGAATCCTTTACATGCCCCGCAGATTGAGGCTATCAACTGTCACGGCGGACCCTTCAGGGGAGGCGGACACCCCCAAATAAGTGCCTCGGCAGCCTGCACCGTATATGCTGGCCATGACGACCATGGGACCAATCAAAAGATAGTAAACCCAGCCAATTGCAAAGCATTGATACTTTCTGAGAGCCGAGCATTTCGACAATTGCCATATCCTAGCACGACAACACAGTTGAGCACACAAGCACGCGCATGCACAGTCTCGCACAAACATACACACACACAGAGACACACACAAACAGAGACACGAAGACACCCATGCACGCACATACGCGCACCCAAGCAAGCGCCTATGCCCGCCCGCATACACACATATTGATATTTTTTCCAGTCTCATGTGGCCGTCCACTTCGCTTGACAGCGATAAACTTCACATGTCCGACCTCTCACCCCGTAAGACGTAGTAGGACAAATGTACAGGCCGGCTCCACGTTGGTGTCATCTGCCAGGAACCTGCGAAGCTTCAGCAGGTCCTGCAAGAGCCACAGAATAGAATCTTTGATCTGCATGCCTTGCTGCAAACGTCCTCGAAATTAGATATGGTCGTTACTTCGAAACGACATGAAACGACGATCCTGTGCAGGGACCGAATTAGACCCGGTCCCGATGTTGCATCATCAGCTCTTTACGGTTCTTCAAGAACCCACTAAATCAGGGATGTGCCACTCAGAAGCTAATGTTTGAATAGCTAGTTGTCACCTATCGCAACTGCAGTTCACCACACATGTTGCTTGCCAGGCCTACTCGAACATCTTCAAAACCGAAGCAGCACGCAAAGGGTTTCGTGGCACTCGCTACATCTCCAGACCCTTGGCCCTCGATTCCTCGCTCGGCACGCCAGCCTGTCGATGCATGAACCCTGCAACAAAACGAACACAGACATGCCGTCGAGGTGCTGTGTAACCATGTGCAGGCTTTGCATCAGGAAACCCCTGAGCCTCTGGTGCGTCTTCGTCGTCGGTGTCCTGTGCAGTGCAGATTATGCATGACTCACAATACAGTCTGGAGGGGGGAACCTCTGGCTGCCGAAAGCTCGTGCGTGCCACCCACGGCCTGAGCCAAAGTAGGATGCACAGAATTTTGGAGGATGTTTCGTCGCCTCCAAGCAAATCACTTGACGCGTTTTGCAAGTGCATGTAAGCTTGATGTGCTTGACTCTGGGGCAAAAATTCTTGGGCTGTGATGCTCTGGCGGCACTGTGCAGTGACTGGCCGCCTTTAAAATCTTGCTACATCCCCACAAAACAGCTTGCCAGGCTCCGCACGTCAAGTCTAGTGCGAACGAAAAAGCGACCGCATAGAGGCCATCTGCGCAACTGCATTCTGCTATACTGCGCTTTGATGGGGCAACCGAACTCAACGGCTGACGCACTCCGTGCCTCGCCAAAAGAAGGATCCGGGAAAGTTGTTGGTGACGGGTAGATAGCCAGTAACCTCGCATGCTCTCGCAGAGCACGAATCTTAAGAGCTCAGTGAATCTAAGTCCTGTCACCCTGTCACCACCGAACTGTCGGCTCTGCACGCAGCGATGCAAGATCACTGCAACTGCATCCCGTCAGCTGCGGTCGCGCTTGCCCGGATGCTAAGTGGACTGCTCGCAGATGGACTTGTTTCGGCTTCTGGTTGAATGCCTGCAGAAAAATGTGAAATTGCGAAATCTTGCGAGAGAGTGAGGCTAAAGCCTGTCAAGGTTCTGGTCTGGCTGTTCACAACTGCGAACATGGAAGATCGAAAACAATGTGAATGCCCTATCCATTGCATGAAGCCGTGTTCGGCTCCACTCGAGTATACGTAGTACTAGTACTGCAGTCAGCACAATACTTCTTCACTAGGTCTGCGGAGTACTCCGTGCTCTGGAACATTAAGTCCTGTGCCACCGGGAGCTGCGCACATTTGCTGAGTGATGTTCGTTTCTATCCAAGAATCATCTTGTTGCTTCTCGAAGTCTTAGTCATATTCAGCTCGCGAGGGTTCCAGGCCACTCTGCAGCTACATGCCTGGCCATTTGGATCCCATGCAAAAAGACTCCCCAAATCTGCTATAACAGCTGCTCAAATGAGTAGAAAGCACATTCAATCAACATCGATGCGACCGCCTCAAGGAAAGCGATTTCCTCCGCCTGATCTGCCTGTCAATTGCATGCAGCAACCAAATCAATGTATTGCCGACAAAACCTCTCTTCCAGCGCGAACAGGCAGCTTTTGGATGTGGGCTTATGGGCTTATTAACAACGGCTTACAAGGAACGACCTGTGTCGCGGTTGGACTTTACTTGACACGAACTTCCCTTCTTGCCTCATTGCTAGGGCCCCGGCGGTGCTAATGTACATCCGGGGGTCTGCGTAAAACTTCACCCGAGATCTGTTTGCACCCTGCAGGCAGTCTGCCGGCAGCTTGGGGCCGAAAGGACTGATGTCTGCGCCTGTCTGTGCGCTAGGCACGCGCTGAAGGACAAGGTGGCATAGTACACGAACCTCAGCTCCGCACTCAAGGGCCCCCACAGATTCCAGACCCGAACCCGCACACCACAAGAGAAGGCCCCTGAAGCAGGTCAAGGTTGGTGCCGACTGAAGAGTCCCTGGCAGAAGCAAGCACATCACGACGAGGTCCTGCATCTTCATCCGGCGAATGAGGTCCTGACATGCTCGGCTTTTCTTGGCTAAGTCTGGATCAGCCGAGGTTCTGGAGCTCCCGGCCCGATCGAAGTTGATGCTGCCCGTGTTTCCGACAGATGCTCCGATGCCGCCAGCCACTGCCAACAGCATCCTGCACGTTGTCAGGCGGAGCCAGACCAGAGACAGCATCCTGCTATTTGGGCTCTCGATGATAACGGATTACAAGAACGCGGTGCGCTTGGGAAGAAAGCCTCCAATGTCTTGCTCATCTCTTGCCAAGCTGCGGTTGCTCGGCAACAGATGACAGCATGCCACCGGTGTTGGCTGGATGGCTGCTGTCCAGTTCCTGGTACCCAGAACTACATTGCATTGCAAGCGCAGACCTCCAAGCCATGAAAGCCAACTCTCTACGAAGCCGGCTGGGAAGTAAGCTGAAAGTGCAAGTGCCTGCTCCAACACGCGCATCTGCTTCCTCTGGTCGTCCTAGGCCAAGTAGTGGTAGTAGGAGCAGTAAATGTAGTAGCGGTGGTGGTGGTTCTGGTGACGCATGCGTCATTTGCAGCTGCCGCAGCTGAGCGATCCCACTCCGAAGGACAAGCCATCGAGAATCCGCCTTCACATGCAAATACTGCAGTGTATTCATGTCTTCTCTTCCCTACCCTTGTCGCTTTTCCCTGTGACAGGGCAAGCTCAACAGCTGCTTGAAGCACCCAAAGACCTACATCGCCTTTAACTTCACCTGGCCTGGACCAAAGGGATAGTACGAACAACAAAACCTGGGCGGAGTGTAACCGCAAGCAAGCCTCGAACCATGCTAAGGCCCCGACAGTCAGCCTTTGATTCCTGACATGTCAAGTCCGCACAACACTGCTCCTGGTGCGATCCTTCGTTCATACCTTACTCGTTGTGATAGACTATGGCCGACCTGGGTCTCACGATCTCAGCTTAAGCTGCAGCCCAAGACGGCCAAGTTAGCAGAGCCTAGCCCAAAGCCCCCCCCCCGGAACAGCCTCGCCATGGACTCCGAGCCGACGTCCTCTTCCTTGTCAGATTCGGGCTCTGAAGGGCTCAGCACAGGAGCAATTCAGAGCGCAAGAACTCAATGATCATGGCACCAGGTTATTGGATCTTATTGTCATGGAAGAGTCGGAAGATGGCGAAACTTACATTAGCTGCTGACTAGATTTCAATTGGACCGAGATGCCGCAACTTAACAAACCAGCACCTGGGAAACATCAAGACAAGAAAGCCTCACTGGAAAGATGCCTCCCGCGCATCTCCGTCGCTGGAGTAGTCGTTGCCCAGGTCCCAGCGATGCTTCTGTCGCCCTTTGCAGTCGAAGTTCCACTGAGGAGCCGTGAAAAAGAGATGCCCCACAGTTGAGAACATCATTCCAAATCTTGGACACGCTTGGACAGCCTGTTTGACTCAAATGACCTATCCGGAGAGCTGGATCCGGGGCGCGAACCATGAGCTATCACTGAGACGTGCCCCTCATGAGCTGCCTGCGTAGGTCGATCTGCGGGGGATTTCCAGTTAATGCACTCTTGCGCTATGTGCTGCTTATGTGCTCGATGGCAATACCGTTATCTCAGCATGCTTGGCTAACTTCTTGCTGCTAGTGGCTGTAGCACATATAACCTTTTCATTCTATCATTTGTCTCGTTCACTGCAGTCCTATTGCTCGCAGGGAAACCACATGCCCGAGCTCGTCCGGGCCCGAGAGCTTAAGAGTATCTTCTTCAAGATCGAGGCATGCTTCCTTTCAACTCTGCAACGTATATTTTAGGCTATGGTTCGTACCTAGTGACTGAGCATTCTGGAGTGTCGTAAAAAAACCGGGGCAAGGCGCCAGGTGGAAACTTGAGAAGTCTCCCTTCGGACAGTGGGCCTCTGAAATTCGCCGGGAGAAAAGCCGCTGCATCGCGGCCTTCTGCCAGGCCGCCTGCGTTGCAGAGACCTGAACATTTTGCAAGCCTAGTACCATTTCCAAAAAGAATGAATTCCGTTCTTGGCCTTGGCCTTCCGTGAGCTTGACGAAGCCTGGCCCGAAAACTCTTTCTGGGCTCTTCTGCACTCTTTCCGCTTTCCGCGACCTCGCGCTGTGAACGCACGAAGCTCCCATGCCTTCTGCACCGTCTCGGCGGCGGTGCGCGAGATGTTCTCGTGGTCTGCGAGAGCTAGTGCCGAGGAGGCCTGGCTCAGTTGCCACTTCCGCCGCCTTCACAGCCTTCCTTCCTTCCGACTTCCGACTTCCGACTCCGGGCTCCTTCAAAGTCGAGAGAAGAGGCGCGGTCTCCAGCGCCTCGTGAGGCGTGCAAAGACTGGAACCGGATGCACTGAAATCAACAGGCAATGGGCTCCATGCATCAGACACCACCCATAGCAGTCAAACAGCTCAGACAGAGAAGCGGGCCTGTCTGAGAGCGTCTGGAGAAGCTCCGGCCGAAGCCTGCCAGAAGCCCTCATGGAGTCTGTGCTTCCAAGCGGACTCTCGGCAAAGTGAACCCACCACAAAGTGTAGGCCCTTCCGTAAAGCAATCCGGCCTTTGCAGCATCCAAGTCGCTTGCAGGTCTGTCGGCCGAAGCCTGCTACAGCTCGTACGAGTAGCTGTGCCGCACTGCTAGATTCTGTTAGGCTGCTAGACTGCTAGATGGTCAGCAGATACCACTGGCAGGCACGGAAAGGATGCAGTATGATATTATTTGTCTTTCTAGCGTCTCACAGAACACGTTCGCCACTCCACCAAGCGATAAAGGCTTCGCATGCACATGGCAAATCTTGGCAAGGTTTCCAAGCCTGGGTGGAAGCCTTGCCAGAGTCCTTCCAGACCACCACACACACAAGCCAAACCGGCGAACGAGTGAAACACAGCGGACATGTCGGGAAGCGAATTGTACTAGCATCGCTCCTCTTCCAGCTCATTTTCATCTACTGGCAGACGCTCACAGAGCACTGTAGTCACACCTTAGTCTGCAAGGGCTCCGCAAGGGCTAGGTCGGTCAAGAGATGTAAGAGTCCTGGGGTGTGCTAGTTTGGGACTGACGGTTCATCCTATGGCATTCGCTGTTCATCATAATCGAAAGTTTGGGATGCACGGAAAGCTGACGACTTTTGCAGCTCTCTTGCTATCTTTGGACAAAGTGAATGCACCTGCCATGAGAAGCTGTGTCAGCACATTCCAATCCGAGATGGCAGCAGAAGTACATCGAAAGAGCCGTGAGCACCCGCCTTCGCACAAATGCCTTGGACCTGAGACTGCGCAGACACAAGTAGCAACGCTGCCAAGCGCTCTCAGAAGGCTCAGGCTTCTGCAGGCAAACATATGAAGGGCCTGACATAGGCAAAGGCAGCAAGGCCTCAACAGGCATGAGCCGTGAGAGTCATCGGGATTTTTCGACAGGTGCTTCTCCCACAACTCGGTTCTCGACCTTCGGGCCTACTGTCGCAACAGCGACATACGCCGCCTTCCTAGAATAGAGTCGCCACGGAGCCAAGCGGCCGAGCACAGAGTTGACAGGACCTCAGACCTTACACTGCCCTTGCAGAGATAAAGCGCAAGGCTTCGTGCGGCACATGGAACCCCGAACTTTGCAACGGCATGAGGATGCTTTTGTCGCACAGAAGTTCGAGCCTCGTGGCGTCTGCTATAGTTGCTCGCCAGTCTGAATGCCTTAAAACCGGTGCAGTTTCGGCTTGACTTTGAAGCCGCATCGATTCCAAACGGGTCGATGTCGTCCTGCTGGCATGAGCCGATGGGAGCAACGGGCTTCCACTCCCGGCTGCCGATGTTCAGCAAACCCCACGATTCAACAGCCGGGCTGCCTCGAGCTCGACGAGATGTGTAGCTGAAGGTCACGGTGCCGCTGTGGGCACGCCACATATGGCATATCAGACTGGATCTGACGCCAAGAGCTCATCGAGCTCGGCGAGCCTGTGAGCCCAGGACATGGGAAGTGTTGTGCTGGACTAACAAACTCACTCGCATTTGCCCCGAAACCGACGACCGCCATCGAGCACAGCACGTCCACACAGCGCATCCACTCAATTCTTCCAACCCAATGCAATGTCAAACAACTGGAGCTACAATCCAGCCTGTCAGTGCGGAGATAGACCCGCAACACGAACCTGTGCTTCGTCGTTGGCAGCATTTCTGTAACCTTTGGACCACCTAGATTCCAAAAGGCATGAGACTGCGCAGATGACATCAAAGCCTGCAACACGTGTAGATACATTAGATACTAGCTGCAGCAATACTTAGCATGTATCCACATATGTCGCCTGTAATTGATTCCCGTGCACGGAACCGTGTGTTCACCAACAACGCTTCGGCATTCCGGCACGAAAAAAAAAGCCCCATGGGAGCGAGGTACTCTGGAATTCCTTTTAAATCGAGTTGCCGGTCGATCCCGTGGTCCCTCATAGTTGAGGCATCGTTGTCGAGGTCGATGAGAACAGCTGAGCCTCGAAAGAACGTTGGCAATGCTGCCTTGGCAGTTTGAGGAAAGCACTGTAGACTTCAATGTCTCAAGCCCGCTTTGCCTTGGTCAAATTCTGCCACCAGTTCAGCAGTAAGCACTTGCTTGTCCTCAGCAGACTCTGCAAGACAGAATAGTGTCAGTGGGTGCAAGCAGAGGAGAGAAACCATACACGAACACGCATATGTGTATATATATATATACACATACATATCCACATGTATATTACAATATGAACACACGCACGTAGCACGCAATTAACACAATGTGCCCCAGGTCTCAAGTCAATTTCGTGGAATCAGATGAATCACGCAACTTCAGAGATACTTTCACTTCAGACATTCCGAATAAAGCCTTGGACCCATAGCCTGAGCACTTCATCTGCAAACGAACCAGTGCGCAGCAATGTCTGAGGATTGAATCAGTGCACAGCATACACAACAGAAGATGTATTGCCACTGTGAAACAACAGCTTTGAGGGTACGTTTGGGCGGCCAATGTGGCAGGCACGTCAGTCCGGACTGATCTCAGTGCCTAGTCATAGCCTCTTCGTTGAGCAATCACTCTGACTGGGCAGATTGCTTCTCCACACACACACACACACACTCCCTGCCTCCCTTCCTGCCTCCTGCCTGCCTGCCTCCACACCTCCCTTCCTGCCTGCTTGCCTGCTCAGGTCCCTCCCTGCCTATACCTGTACGTACAGTGTTACATGCATGGACACACCGCGTTCTAAATTCACGAGCCATGTATCTGCAGGGATGGCGAGCTTGATCCTGAGAGCAGCTGCAGGTTTCTCGCTTCGACATCCACGGGCTGGAAGGTCTCAGCTGCTGGCTCCAGCAGCTTCTTGAGCTCAGCGACTGTTGTCAAAGGCTGCAGGTCGAAAAGCAAGCGCCTGCACACTTACAGAGAACCCCTCAGAAGCATTCGGATTTTGCAGCAATGGTTCCTGCTCTCCGGCCTCTCTCCGTACCGTTTAAGCTTTCTCTGTCCCGCCACTTCTTCCCAAACCGCGGTGTCCAAGGACGCTGACCTCGCTCCCGGCAACTTAAGGATTTGAGCAGGCTTTGGCATGCGTGCAGCCGTCTCAATGCTGTCCCATGTTCAAGATCTTGATCTTAGATAGTTCAAGAAGACATTCCGCTGCATAAACGGTATGTGGAACATGCTTAGCACTTGACCCGTGGCTTGTGTTTCAAGATTTAGAAAGGGGTTCTATGATTTGACATTCCGCGGGGTGTGTTCTGCTCTGGGTTCCCAGGCAGGCTTTGGACACTTGTTGACCTCCGACTATCAGCACCTCCTCGCAAGCATAACCTCTTTGAAGACAGAGGACCTAGTTGTGAAGACGAAGTTACTGTAGTCCGATAGCTGAAGGCAAATCGCTTGCGTCAGTATACCAAGTCAGTCCTCATGATGCCTCGAGTCAAGGAGTCGACGATGCTTGGGCTTTCTCTTCGATCGGCGCTGCTGTGTTGGGTGAACAGTCTCTCGATGAATACAAAGAAACGCAATGTGAATCGAATCGACACGCCACATCTTTCCATAAAGGCTGTGCGAAAAGCTGCCAAAACAGGCACGACACGATTGAGAAGAAACAGCTGGATTGAATGAGAACATGTTCGTGGTGCATGAGGCTCCGATACTGAACAGTTTGGTATGACGAACCTTAATCAACAAAGTGCATATGTCCAGTTTGCACCGCTAAGCAAACTTATATAGACTGTAGATTCTACTAAGAGAAGCTGTTCGAAAACTGAGTTAAAAGCACGTGTCAAAACTCTCTTGCCGGAAAATATCATGGTGAACAGCATGTTCAACATGCCTCTGCCTGTGTGGAAAACGTTTCGTTGTGCAGTTGCCATGCTAAAGCATGGCATCCTTAAAAACTGGAAGCAGATTTTGTTTCAGCCAGTGTACTGAACACAAACTGTTTGAATTCGATGTTGTGCAACAACATATCATTTCCAACACGGCGGTAGCAGAAACAGTAGCAGGACTAGAGGAGGAGTGCGGCAGTCAGAGTAGCAAGAGCAGTAAAAAAAAAAGTACGGGGAGCTGCACAGCAGTGACAATACACGTGGCAGCCAACACTTGCTCGCCAGGAGCCTGTTGAACATCTCATTTCCAAACCAAACTACCAAACTTGTTCAAGACAAAAAGCTGCTGGAGCAGTCAGTGTTGCACAGGTTCCCTGAACAGCTTCTAGACAGGGCCCGGGATGCTCTCAGTTGCGGACACTATCACCGGCAGCTCGAAGCCCTGTCCGCAACACAAGCGGCCCGTTCAAGATTAGATTTGTTGCTGTGGAACGCGCTGCAGATATGCCGGAGGCTGCTGCCGAGGCTAGGCCAAGAAGATCCCAGAAGGCTTCCAAAGGACCGAAGGAAAAAGCGAAACTGCGCCATCTCGGAGGCCTGCAGCATGGGCTTCATGACGAATCTAGGAGGCCAATTCTCCTCACAAAGCGAATTTTGCGAATCATGCAGGCAGACGCTCAAGCAGCTGGATATGCTATGTCCGAGGCCGCGTCCAAGCCGAATCCTGACCATTGTGCAAAGCACTCCCCAAGTTTTGTCGCATCCTGGCAGAGCTGGAGCAGTGCTTTTCGGTGGTTTTTTTTCTACTCCCCGTACAACGGTCCCGAAGTTCATGCGGCGGGAGGAAGATGCGCGGCGACCGAGAGGCCAGGCCATCCTTCAGAGGGTGCAAAGAGACGGGCCGTGTCTCAGAGTTCCTTTTTGCATGCTGTTCTCTGTCCTTCAGGAGACGATCCTTCAGGCTCCGCACCGTGTCCCGGCCCCGGAATCCTTCGAAGACGACCTGAAATACAAAAAGTCTTGACCGGGTGTAGACTGGCTGCAGTGGCTGGATTTTCTGAGAGTTTCTTAACCTCAGCCTTTTCATGACTGCGGTTGCTGAAGCAACCTACTTGCTGCACAAAGTGCAGCCGATGAAGGCCGAGTCGCCGTTAAGGTAAACTACAAGCCATGCAAATGAAAAGAAATTAACCATGGCTTCGGCGTGCACACCTGGCTCCCCTCAGACTTCCAGACAGAACTTAGGCTTTTATTTCAAGGACTGACATGAAGGGCAAATGAGTCCGCGCCTGCTTTGCGAACTCCGTGGACTCGTCAATGGTCAGGTCGGATGTCGATCCCTGCAAGGCCAATAATATGTGAAAATTCGCGGTCCCCTCTGAAGCTCCACCAAACTCTCATACCAATAAAAGACAATCAGTTCCTGCAAACGACTGACCCGCACACAAGCACAAAGAAACACAGCTGTCACGACGAGGGAGGATACGAGACAGTTGCGTCCCGTCGAGAAACTAAGGTCCAGGGTTCGGCAACATGTGGATTGCCGTCGGTGCATGAGCTACAGTTGTCCTTCACTGGGTGTGCAATTGCAATGAACGGCATTGTAGCTGAGAGCGCCGCTAAGATCCTGACCTGAATAGGACGAGCTTGGCAGAATACTGAGCGACCGAGCACGAAGCACAACAACGGCTTCAAGACGTTCTGCAAAGGCTTGGATCGATGCACTTGTCAGTAGACAGTCTTGTCAGGAGCGGTGGAGCAGCGATCAACGGAAAATCCCTGCGGAGCTAAGCTCGCAACGGAGAAAGCAGGCAGAAACTCCTTCTGCTTGGCTACTTCAACCGCAGCTTCGTCAACAAGCCTGCTAAGGATCTTTCACAACTGTAACTGTGACACCAAGATGACATCATCAGAAAAACACACTGTGCAGCGCCCAGTTGCAGTTGACAGCTTCACAGCCTGCGTAACACAGTTGTCTCGCCTCTTCCCGGGATCCGGTTTTACCTGGTATGAGGGTCGCCCCTCCTTGGCCTTGGGTGCACGGGCCAACGAATTATGGTCTCAAACGTCCACGCTGTCCCTTGGCCACGTCACATATTGCAGCGTTGCGCACCGCAGGCTGCAGAACCGAATGAAAGGAGTCTTCCTTATCCATGGTGCCAACCCCTGAGGAGCTTGCCCAAATTCTCTGTGTGGTGCCATCTGTTCGGCGAAGTATCCTCACTGTTGCAATGATGAGCGCCATAGCACATGAACGCAAGTCCACCAATGCTGGAGACAAACGAACGCATCACGAGAGTAGAAGGCGAAAATCGCTGCCATGACTCTGACGTGCTGGGTTGAAGTGCGGACTTGCAGGAATGCTTGCAGTTGTCTTGCAGACTGGCTATCAGACACGATGGCGAAGTTGTGCAAGAACCTCATTGCAGTGAGCTCTGTGCCCGTAGCTCGTGGCTCGTGCGGCCATGCGCTTCAATCATCCTCTAAATGCCCCACAAGTTCAAGCTTCCTCGGCGAAGAGTGCTGGGAATTATCTATAGATGTTGCTTTCCCAAGCTATTCTCTAACCAAACTCTGTACGGCTCTGGTGCGACAACTAGAGACGAATTGCAGCTCCACATGCTATGATCAGATCGCAGCGAATGTCTGACGATCAAACCATGTTGCCGTCTATGCTCCGGTTGCCTACGAGAGAGTGCTCCGAAAGTGGTGCAATGGGATGTTCATGAGCCAAGTATCTTGTGTTGTTACACCTTGTACAGCAACACTCATGGCAAACCGAGTTCAACTCAAAGCTAACACTAAGCCGCGTGCTCTGTTGCCTCTTGCTTTTGAAGCCGTCTGCGGAACCTGAGCAGTCTAAGCGGGTCTTTTGCCTCTCTGTATTTATAGATAGACAGGTAGATAAGATAATTATGTAGATACAGTTATCTATTAATACACATTTGGCATACATATCATCATGATGACGATGCTGGTGATGATGCACACCTTACACAAACCGATTGTCACCACGCAGGAGCTGCAATGTGTCCACTTCAAGAGGCTTCAGGCTCCGGCGCATCGCTCAATCCATTGTATGAGCTTCCATCCTCGGAAGTTAGCAGGCACCGCGCGGGTGACTCGTCAAGTCTCTTGTCCACCCTTCGTGCGGCAAATTTCACGCCAACAGCCGCCCCCTTCTGAAGCCAAGGCCTCGACATAAACCGCCATTGCTGTCAAGACATGGTCGAACCGGAGACTTGTATCTACGGCTTCCGCAACGCCTTGTCTGATGTCGAATTGATCCTAATTTCCTTCTCCACATGTCTCTGCAGGGGAGCTTAACTTCTCTCGGTGTCGGACCCGGGCTCTCAGGGCGACGGGAACTTCCTAGGGTTTAGGGTTGAGTATATTGTGCCTTTCTGGTTCCGGCTTTCCATGATGCATCATGATCCGATTTACAGAGTTTTTGGCTCTGCAACAGCGGACCAAAAATATTCCCCCACACTTGCTCATGCTTCTGGGGAATATTACTCAGGATTTTGTCAACATGAATCGGAGTTGATGCTTTCAGCACATCGACCACTCAAACAAAGCTTAAAGCCGGAGATTTTCCGCATTGGTAAAGCCGACATGCTCATCTTGAAAACGAAATTACATAAAGTCTCTTTTCACAAGCACCAACCCGTTTTTTGCGGGATGAACTCGTGCGAAAAGGTCACCCAGTGCTTCGACACCTCAGGTGAAAAAGCACCAGTTGCCTGCTCGGGCTCGTGAAAAAAAACTGCGATTTCGCTGCAGGTGCTGGTTTCACCTCTGTGACATATTCGTAGCTCGCGTAGCACATTATCGCTGCTTTGCTATACATGAGGAGGCATAAATGCACATTAATAGCTTGCTGCAGCCTGCTCATGACCATGAGGAATCAGCACTCCCATTCTGTGCAAGGTGATCATTGAATAGGAGAGCCTGCAGCTCTTTCGCACAATAGTCAAAGTTTGATTCGAAAGTTTGCACGAATTCTAAAAGCTGAACCCTAGACGGCTGAATCTCCCGGAAGCGCAGCAGCAGCCAATGTAGCAGAGTGCCCAGCTTCAGCCGTGGCATCGTTATCCTCTGACTTGTTCGCTGCACTCACGGGGTTCTCCTCGTTGGCTGACTGACAGCTGGCATCCTTTCCTTCCTCAGTGACACAGGCATGGAAGGCGCAACAACCATTTCATGCCCACCAATGGAAAAAGCCAGGACTTGCTTTTGAACAAGGGACTACATTTTTCAGGTCGCTGGCATTGCTGACATCGCTGTTCGTAGCACTCGCCACGCCTGCGGCCTCATCCACAGGGAAGTCCATGTTGCACAGTTCAGCTGCATGGCCTGCAGGGTGAAGAGGCCCCAGGAACCACACAGCCCACAATGCCCACAAAACCTACCCCATCACAGCCAAATGCTGCTGCAGCTTGAGTAGCCTCTGAGCTGCCATGTGCTCGACACCAGGCTGCAATATTGCGTTAGCATCTGCCCCGCGGTATTCACCGAGAAGAACAACGCATAGGCAGTAATGCAGGCGCAAAACAGAGCTTCCGACCGCTTCTCCTCCTAAGCAACGGCTGGTTTTCCATGAAATCGGTTCCGAACGGAGCCCGCGAACTCGGTGCACCGATTAACTCAGAGGTTACCGTAAATGCAAAGCACTAGCCTGGGTCACGCCCGTGTAGCCAGCCGGATCGGTCCCTATCTGACAATGCTTGCGCTTCCCATTCCCATTGATCTACTCGCTCATTTAGGTTGACTCACATGCATAACATGATCGGGTGTGCATGTGACTCTGTCCCCCGGATCCTTCTCAGTGTTGGGACTTCTCCCTCTAATTTATGTTAGTACATATTTTCATGAATCCCATCAAGGCAGTGCCACAACTAGATTTTGGATTACGTCATGCGCAATGACTCCCCAAACACATGCGATCCTTATGGGCCGCTGCTTTGGTGGATTCCTTTGAGTGTAGGGACTTCGAGATTTAAAAAGGTAATCTTATACGGCAAAGTTTTAGAGGCTTCTGGAAAACCGGCTCGTAAGTGACGTAGCTCGCTGGTGGCTACAGTAATTACGCTTTGTGGACAACAATGCTTACATGTGTTTGGAAATGAAGAACACTCTTGGCATCGTCTCTGGTTGCTCTTGGCGGGCCCTGCCGAACAAAACCTTGTCTCTTCCACTGGAGTTTGAGTTCAGGGCTTGTCAAAGCTCAGGTCTTTAAGGCAACTCAGACCTTGGTGTGGCATGTTGTGGGCACAAGCTGAAAGAAATCGGCCAGGCATCTTCCAAGAAGTCCAAAACGTCCTGCCGTGGTATGCCTCGACGCACGCTCTCCCTGAGCGCCTGTCCGCAGGGACGGACTCAACAATTGGCCCACTTCACCGCTCAATTGGCTCATGCCCGTGCGAAAAATTACCTTCGCTTCGGAATGTGCGATCAGGATTGCGGGAAGCCTCAGGCTTGGTTTGCTAGGGTTTTGGCTGCGTTGCTGGTGACTTAAGCAGGTCTCAGGCTCTTGAATCGGCCTCAGGAGTGGTTGGCACTGTTCTTGGTTTCAGGATTTTATTGGTGGGTACTTGTACTGACTAACATCGAAATACTTTGAAACCATAAGCATGATGAAACGGGCATGATCGGCGAAAAGTTTGTTGGATAATTTCGAGCGAGTCTTCGTGATGGGCCATGCAGTGAAGGTGACGCACGGCCAGGCCTCCCGGAAGTGACAAAAAGGGAGGACGTAGAACTGCTTGGCGATGCTGCGCACCACTACGAAGGTCATAACGGCGGCGAAGACGTAGTTCCGATCCAAGAGGAAACTCAGCACAGTGTTGAAATCGAAGGCCATATCCAGCAACTGCATTGCAACACTTTGATACAACGAGCAAGCCGTCGTCGGTTTGATGCCCTTGTGAACTTCGCCAAACTCGTCTGGTGGCTTCTGCAGAACTCGCCGTACAGCATCCTCAAGCTCATGACGGGAGGGTGTCGGAGAAGTAACGTTTCCACATAGACAGCGCCGGAAACACTTGTACAGCACCATGCAGATCAGACTGACCCAGTACACAATTACCAGGGCAATGCAAACGTCTCTCACTGCGTGGAAGATTTCAAGCGCAGTGATTGGAGGTGCCCAGGTAAACAGCCAGTGCTCATTCAGCTTGCTGTTTCCCAGTAAGCGTACTTTCCGGTCCTCCCATGCGACCACCGAGGGGTCAAGCATCCACGAGAACGCGGATATGACTGACTCAGGGATCACCATCTTCCAATACAGGCCACCATAGAGGAAGCAGAAGATGCCGAAGAGAGCTGTGGTGCGGATGAGGGCGGCAACCTGGCCTCCGAAGCTTCTTGTCACCAGTGCCAGCGTCGGAGATTGAAATAACTCCCGAGCCCCGTGCAGTTTGATGGCAGGGGCCACGTACAGAACCGCAACTAGCGGTAACCACCATGCCCAGTGCGCGATCAACAGCACGAGCCCCAGCCAAAAAATCCCAACGCAGACTTCCAGCCAGCGCCACATCTTCGCAGACAGCGCGAATCTACTGAAAGCCTGGCTCACCAAGAGCTTGGCACCGGCCAGGAAGGGGTCTTGTTCGTCATCTGTTTGGGCTTGTTGGTTTCTGCTTTTCCTGCAACAGCTCTGGAGGAACTTTCTCTCCACGACTACCGACACGTATGCCATCAGAGCTGCAAGTCCAGGAATCACCCAGGCCTGCCAGTCTCTCATGGTGTTCAGCATGCTAGCTTGCAGAGTCGCATGCTCTCGCCAGAACTTCCGCGCATCTTCGTTCTCAAGGAGGTCCAAGAGCGGAGTCCCGGCATCGTCATGCCAGCGAATATCACCCTGGCAGCCATAGAGCCACATCTCCAGCGAGCGGTTGGTCAACTCGTAAGGATTCCGGCAATCAAGGTCCCTCGCCGCTTCGTCGAGTAGTTCGATGCCCTGTGGGTCGCATCCAAACTCCACCAGCAACTGGCAATCGACGGATTGGAAGACGATCAGGTCCTCAAGGCTGGCAGTACGACCTTCCTGGGACAATGCCTCCACCAGCATCGAGAATGCTTCAACCTGCCCGCTCATTGCGGCCACATGCACCGGCGTCCAGCTGGTGCTGCCACCCCTGCAAGGCGCCCGGCTGTCGCTATGTCGGGGGCATTGGCCTTCAACGTCGCTGGTGCTATCGATGCCATCTGGCCATGTCTCCAGCAGAAGACGCAATACTTGGGTATGGCCATAGCGGGCTGCATCATGCAGCAGTGTCCACGAGCGGTGATCTTGTCCGTAGTAGGACACAGGCCGGCCTATGGTGCTGATGTCGAACTGTCCGACCAGCACCTGCACCTCGCTCACATTGCCACTCTGCACAGCTGAGACGAGGTCGTCTTCAGTGACCAAAGCCAGGGCACAAGGCCACAGCCACAGCAAGACCCTGTGGTACATTCTGAACCCTAACTCCTCGCAGCACGTACGGCCGCAAGGAAGGGCCTAACCACACTGTGTCCAAGTGGCTGCGGTTTTGCGAGCTCAGGTGTAGCTGGACCTGAGCTATTTTTCTGCCTGTACTGACTGCAGAAATTGCATGCATGTGTCTGATAGCTCAAGACTGCAAGCCCTGCCTAACAAACATTCTCCGCTCATTTCACACAGTTCGGTTGCTTCATGCCGAAGATACGGCAAGTGGGACTCAAGGAGTTGAGAAATTTGGTATGTGAATCGTGGATCGTCGAGCCAGGCTTACGAGTTTCGGATACCTTGAGTGTGGATACTTTCGGGTAAGGGCCTTAAAGCCGTCGGAGTTTAGGCATGTTGCTAAGTTTTCCGTCGCTGGTGCGCCGCGACCGACAGTTGAGGCGGCATGTTCTGCCTGGTACTCTTGACCCAACAGCCACTTATGGCCTCGTTTTGCATCATGTCTGTGCGCCGCACTCTGTCAGAGATGAAGTACTTCCATTGTGGGCCCTTCTCCCAGCCGTTCTTTGCCACGGTGTACGTAAGTTTCCGTGTTGTTGAACAGCCCTATGACACGGTTCCAAAGCAGGACAGCCTCGTGGTACTGTCCCAAGATGTCAATTTCGATCCAAGTCCAACAGTCCAAGGAGTCCAAGGAGTTGCAACGACCGCGTCGAAAGTTTGCTGCGTGACCGAGCCGTTGGTCTTCAGCCCAGCCTTGATAACTCGTGTGATAGAAAGTGATCATGGTTGTTAAGTTGTAGCCCCTCACGCAGAGCTCAAACTGGTATGAGCGAGCATTTGCCACTTGGGGTGGGAAATGTGTTCCGAAAAAGCGAGTGCCAAAAGCGTCTTTGACATCCCACCAGGCTTGAACGACGTTTGACTTCACCACATGACCATTCAAATCGAAGGAGTAGCCGAAGATGCCCTCTGAGTCATCTGCGTCATCGCCTCCGAGAAAGAAATCCACAAAGCGACACTCGCGGTAGTCTTGGGCACAAACGTGCGGAGAGAAGGACTTCTTGTAGAGGACTTGGAGCTGGGCAGTTGTAAGGGGACTAGCTCCAAAAACCTCCATCACGTACGAGCCATCTGTCTGAAATCTTTGAACTGCGGACACGAACTGGACAGTGTCCAAGGACTTCAGGAAATCTTGATCCATGACCTCCTTGCCTCGGATCTGGCGAGTGACAGTGATCACATGTTCGTCTGGCGCTGTCCGGAAGTTGGCTCGGGTCATAATAAAGGATCGACTGGCAATGACCTCCTTGATGAGAGTCAGATTTGACAAGAAGCGAAAGGTTTTGGAGCTCAAATCATAGAACTCCATCCAGTTGATTCCATCGACGATGCTGTTGTTACTGTCACTGCTTCCATGGTTGAATGTCGCGATCATTCCGCCAAAGGACAAGTAATGGTATGCGCCATGGCTTATCAACCTCTTACCTGCAGGCTCCAACACCTGTACTGCTTCGGCAAGGACATCGCCTGCACAAGCTGTCAGTGTGTCATTGCCATTGCTATAAAACATGCATTTGCAGCCACCCATGTTGATACTCGGGTGTCTTGGGCTTGACTTCGCAATGTAGTATGAGTAGCCAGCACCAACCATATCCAGGTGGCTCGTTTGTCCAAGGATAGCCAGAACTCCAACCAAATCGCAGCTCTTCGTCTGATAGTCTCCGATCGGCAGCCGAAACTGCGCAACATATCCGTTCACGGCAGGGATAAAGTCAAACCACCTGACTAAGCTCGCAATCGTCCCAGTAAAGTGCCGACCCTTCAAAGCACTGAGCAAGCGGAAGCGGGTCTGTCTCGCACTTTCATCTGTTTGGGTGGTCACTTGGGGCAACTCAATCAATGCCTCCTCCGATGTCAAGTTCGGCTCTGCGGGCTCAAAGCGGCCACAAAAATGATGGCGTCTACGTGTGAACGGATTGTTGGTGTCCCAATCGCGGGTCTGCGCACAAATCTCTTGGTGGCACCCTGTGTCACTTTCACCGTTCGGAGCACAGCACAAATGACCGCCGCAGTACTCACAAAAACCACCTCGCTCTCCACAAGCCCACCAGCAGTCATCACCTCCATGCTCCAAATGATTGAAATACACACTCACATTGGAACGCTCACATGTGGACGGCGTCACCGGGCCCCCCAAGATCGCACTTTTGCCACTTGTCAGATGTAGCAAAGCCGCACTCTCTTGGTCACGGTCCTTCTCGTGGTCATTCTGATCGTTGCGATATCCTTGCGAATCTTCTTCAGCACATGTTTGGGATTGGCCGGCGACTACTCCGAGAGCCGGCAGCCAAACCACGACGGCAGACAGCAACAACATGGCACTAACAACTAAATTGCCCCTTTTGGGCTCGAGCCGGGCGCGGGACAATGCATAGCGAACTTCAGGACTCGCAGATTAAGGTTCTGACCTTCTGAATCTGAATGAAAGTAGGACAAGTCTAGGAATGCGTCGATATGTCGAAGCTGGTTTTGCGGAGCATTGAAGCTGCCCATGTAACTCCAAGACTCCAAAACTAAGCCTGACATGAAGGCCGTAAGATGCGATTGGCAAGCGACAGGGGCTTCGTTACAGCCTGTTGCATCAATTACGGTTCCGTCCTTCATCTCGTGGGGATGGGGGATTCCTAAAAAGAGATTGCATCTGTGAGCGCGTGCGACCCTGGCAGGTCGAAGGACTTGGTGACGAATTGCCATACGGAGCTCCTAGCTGCCTAGCTCGAGTTTGGGGTTGAAGGGTCAAGTGTATTCAAGCGCATGTGGTCCACAGGCAGGAAAACGGTGCGACGCGATACTTTTGGCAAATTATCAAACAGGCTGCTACCTGTTCGATCGCTTGCGTGAGGCATTATCATTACCAAGACGCCTTTGGCGTTCGTGGCTAAAACGCTGTACGAGATGTGCAGCTGGCAGCAGGCTGTGCCACAATTTCTGTGGGCTTGCTTGTAAAAGAGCTGCCTCACGTGTATCATCAACAGTCTCTTTGCTGCGTCAACTCGCAACGTTGCGCGTCAATGCGCAATGCTGCGAGCAACGTTCTGCGAAAATAATTCTCGGTTAGATGGGCATGATCTGCAATGCACTGCTATAGTGACGTGCTCCAGCACAGGTACGGACATTGGTTCTACTATGCGAGTCAAGCGCCCATCTTTCCCCTAACGGTACGGTGCCTATGTCCACCAAGGCACTGCAGGGTCGGCCGATGTTTCAAGGAAAAATCTCCCATAAATGCCTGGCCGCGCCAGGAGGAGGGCGAACTGTTAAGCAAAACTTGGATGTGGCGTATTCCCCAGAATCTACATCGTTGGACCCTCAGGAGATTGCTTTCTTCCCTTTTTTTCCTCCCCTTTTTTTGATGCGGTTCAAAGCGTTTTCGAGGTTGTTAAGAGGTTTTCTGATGGTTCGAGAGGGCTGTGCGACGATTTCAGAGTGTTTTAGAGTGCGCTTTTTTAGAGGGTTTGAAAGGGATTTTAACGATTTTGGAGTGTTTTTGAAGAATTTCAACGAGTTTGCCAGAGATTTTGAGGCTTTGCTTTCGAGGGTTTGAAAGGGTGGCCTTTAAGGGTGTTGCGCGCTTTTGGCTCGACTTTTGCCGCGGCTTCCCCACCGCACGTCGCTGGCGTGGCGTTGCAGCACGCCTGCGAGGAGAAGAAGGTTGCACGAGGCGTGCGCACGGCTCAACACAGCTGGGGGGTTGGGGGGGGGGCACCCCCGCCCACTTGCAAACACAATGCTCGCATGGTTGGTTTCAAAAAATGCCATATGCTGTCAAGCAAGCTTGCACAAGCGGGGGTTGGGGGGGGGGGGCGCAGCAGCCCCCGCATTTGCAAACACACCGCTCGCATGGTGAATGGCAGGGCTTCAACAAGACTCGGATTAGCTTAAGACAACATTATCTCACTACCACCGTCCTTACCGCCGTCATTGTATGTCATTGTCACCTTCATCTTCATGTACATCTTCATCGCCATCATCAGCATGTGTATGTAGGCATGTATGAATGCATGTATGTATATGCAATGGATGTTATCTAAACGTCTTCCAACTGATGCCCTAGGCCCAAGTGTGTCTGTATCCAAACTACTGAGCAGTTCACATGGGATGGTTGAAGACACCAGAGTCACGACGGAGCCCCGGGACCTAGCAGCGCATGGTCAGTGGCCGGTTTCAAGAAAGACTCATATGTTTTCAAGCACGGCTGAAAACAGCGGGGGCCCCTCCATTTGCAAACACAGTGCTCGCATGGTTGGTTTTGAAAACTCATGTGCTGTCAAGCAACCTTGCGCAAGCGGGGGGTTGGTGGGGCGCAACCCACCCTGTTTGCAAACATACTGCTCGCATCGTGAATGGTAGGGTTTCAAAAAAAACTCTAATTATGCATGGTGGGCCTCAACAAGCCCTTCAAAAAACGACTCAGAGGCTGTTGAGCAAGCTTGCACACGGCTCCAAACAGGGGGGGGGGGGTTTGGGGGCGCTCAGCCCCCCCCGTTTGCATTGTGCTCGCACGGTTGGCTTCAAAAGCACTCATATGCTGTCAAGCATCTTGCACAAGCGGAGGGTTGGGGGGCGCAGCAGCCCCCCAATTGGCAAACACACCGCTCGCATGGTGAATGGTGGGGTTTCAACAAGACCCAATTAGCTTACAACATTATCTCACAGCCGCCGTCCTCATCGCCGTCATTATCATCTTCATCTTCGTGTACATCTTCATCGCCATCATCAGCATGTGTGTGGAAGCATGTATGAATGCATGTATGTTTATGAATGGATGTGATTTAAACGTCTTCCAACTGATGCCCTAGGCCCGAGTGTGTCTGCATCCAAACTACTGAGCAGTCTATGTGGGATGGTTGAGGACACCGGAGTCACGACGGAGCCCCGGGACCTGAGGACCAAGGGACCAGAGGACCGCGGACCAAAAGACCACGGGACCAGAAGACCAAAGGATCCAGGAAACAGAAAACAAAAACAATTCCCATGAAAACAAAAACCTAGAAACAATAGACTACCCCTACAAAATCCAGAGCTTGAAGGAGACTCCCCTTCAGTGCCTGGGAGGACCGGAAAGACCAGAGGACCGAAGGACCAGAGGACCAGAAGATCAAAGGACCAGAGGACCCAAGGACCAGAAGGGGGGGGGGTGGAGAAGCGGAAGGAAGAAAACAGGGGATATAAACCTCCCCATTCTAACGGATGTCGTCCTAGTTCCGCTGAAGGGCTCTAATGACTCTAATTGCTCAATACATTGATCCGGCTTGGTTTTTGCTTCTAACCTTGTTTGAGCTCTGGCTGAGTGATTGGATTAGCTAATCACTTGTCACCGAACCATTGCTGTGCACTCCGTAACTCAGGCATCCACAAGCTAACACATCTGGCATCGCGATGAAATTTGGAAAGCCTTTGAGGCCGCGGCACAGAGCATCATCACCGTGATTAGCATCTTTCGCCGACCTGCAAATTGACTATTGATACCACTCTCACAGAACCGATACTTTATTACACCCGGTCTACGCATCGGGCGGCCTTTTCATATCGAAAACACGATGCATGATATATGCTTAGGCTGTGTCTCCCGAGCTTCCAACAATCTCGGACTTGCGGCTTTCCACCTCTGCCTCGTTGCTGTCCTGGTGCAGACAACTGCAACTTGCACGCGGACAGACCTGTGTCCCATGCTGTGGGACTGATTTGTGATGGCACGGGCATCCCGCTGCATCAGAGGTCCAAGACCCCTGCGAGAATGTCAGGCATCTGGGAGTCGTCGTCCTGTGCTGCAAAATTCGAGAGCTGTCAATCTGGCAGTCTGGCCACGTCTTGGAACATGGCGCACCAAGACAAGCTTCACACACGTGCCAACATGTACCATTTTCCTTGCCGTAGGGTCCTCCGGCGCAAACTTCGATCCCAAGGTTGGGCTGCTCGTGGGCGATATCAGGTTGCCTCAGGATTCGGGAAGCCCGAGCTTATTCTGGGCCTGGGTCTGCTGCATCGTCGCTCCCGCTGCACTGGCGATGCATACGATCGAAACTCTCGCGACGTGGTTGCTAAGCACTGGAGAAGCCAAGCTCGCGACGAACGACATTGAACCCTTGGAGGCCTTGGAGATAAGAGTTGGCTGAGTTGGCATAGCTGCTCTCCTGACCAGGGCTTGCGCAGCGGAGAGAAACATGCAAACGCGGTTTCTCAGAAACCCACCCATCATGTTGACCTCTCCAAAGATTGCTGGGCGCTGGTGACACTTTCTGTAGTATACAGACGTTCAGAGCAGCACCGTCGGGCACATGCAGCGGCCTCGCCTCGAAAGCTCTCTTGCCTGGAAGAACTTGGATGGCCTTTTCAGAATGGAAGAGGTCTGAGAGCTCCTCGTCATCCTGCAGAATAGGGAAACGTTCAGCCAGCTCTGTGAGCTCTGTGCAAGAAATCTGCTTGGAGGGAACCTCCTCCTCGGGCGTGAAGTTGCCAGCCACTTCGTTCATGGAGAACACGAACTCCCGGCCGTAAGCCCTTTGCTGAATGTGGAAAGAAGCATGAAGAAGCCAGGGGAGCAAGGAGACGCAAGGAGCCTCATCTACAGTTCCTCCAATCTACTACGACTACTACTTAGTTACTACCTCCCCAATTAAACCGCAACGGCACTAGCAGAGCGGCTTCAAGAGCTCCATGTCCGCGCTGAAAGACTGCGCAACGTCGTGGAACCTGAAGCAGAACTGCCAGAACGAGGACACTGTCTTCTCATCCGACTCCCAAACTCTACCCGGCATCATCTACAAGGGCTTCATGCAAGTGCCGATGTGACTTGCCACGAAAGGCCGCTACTGCTTCGCGTCCACGGCGATGACCGTGGACTCTGTGCGTGTGTACATCCTGCAGAGTTCGAAAGGACCACCTTATGCAAGCGCTCTCATGTGAGTGGGTAAGCCGCACTCTGAGTTCTACTAAAGCAGACTGCAACCGCGGAATGCTGCTGCAACTTGGCCATGGTTGAACTTCGTGCAGTTGCGGGCAAACGACCACCTCAAACCTTGCCCTGCTTAAATGTTGCAGATTTTTACTTTCATTCCCGTCCTCCCTTGATGAACCCAAGGGGTCCAGAGCACTGCCTGTCGATTGCGCGATGAACGATGAGCCACTGCTTGCACACTCTTTGCAGCGGACCAACTCAGCCTGTCGAATGGCACTGAGAATTCGAACCTGAAAACAAGCAAGCTTGATTTCCTTCCAACTCGGCCTCGCAAAACGACATCTTCTTGTCAACAATGTTCGGGAATGTTGCCTGCCGCTGAGGACACAGACTTGCTTCACAGGTAAATTCCAAAAACTGGCCAGTGTGGCAAAGGGAGGGAGGCAGGGAGGGAAGGGAAGGGCAGGGCAGAGGGGAGGGGAGGGGGGAGGGAGGGGGAGGGGAGGGGGGGGGAGGCGAAGCAGGCGAGGTGGCCTGTGAAAAGAAGTACTCCAGAACTCCCAGTGTCACGAAGTACCTTGTCGCGGCGCACAACTGCTCGCAGCAATGGACTTAAACAAACATTGATGTGCCATGCACGCCCCGAACTCTTTGCAACACCGTGAGGCACTGGCAAAGGAAAGCGGCAACTGGGAGGCCGAGCAAAAATCAGAGGTGAGCGGCTCAAGCAATCCGAGTTCGCTGCATGGCAGAGCAGACCTGCCCAGGCCCGAAGACCATCTCACCCTTGTCGAGGGCAGACTCCTTCACTCTCATGTGCTTGGCACAGGGGGAACGACTACCGTACAAGTTTCCTTTTCTCCATAACATCTAGAGCTGTCATTCATCCTACCCCCTTGGCAAATCTTTACTCGCGGCTAGCCAGTGCCACTCATACTTGGATGCGATTGGCACAATGTTAGCCTGGGCCAGCTAGCATGACCCTCAGATGCGTTCAGCAACTTCCAGTCTGCGCCAGGCCTTGAGAGCGTTTGAGCAAATCTTCTGCATGAAGCTCACGTTGACTTCACCTCAATGTGCGGCCAATGACATTCCAAATCATTCCAATGAACCAGTGAACAGTTTCAATCAGTCAAAGGTCATCAGAACCTGTCCTGGCTACGCAAGGCGTACGTCCCAACATGACAACTGCTTTGCCAGTCAGGCTCTACTAAGTGTTTCTTCAGGCACAGTCGAAGTGCTTGATCGTAGCGTCACCCAAGCTAAGCAGTCGACCGAGCGATTGGAAGAGTGGATGAACCTCATGTGACACGACGCTCACATGGTGCACTCCTTTTGAAAGAACACGAAATCTCCAATGCTGTCACGAGTGCATAACAATGGGGTCGTGACAACCAAATGCTTTTCGTAAATCTCCAGGTTAACCTCCTGAGGACATAATACTAGGGCAATGGACTTGCAACGCTTTCGAGCCGCTGGGACTACGACGGTGCTGCCTACATCTGCCTACAAGACTTGCCTTGGTCAAAATCTGCGGCAACATAGCCATGATTTTGACCTCAAGGACTCGACATCTGGATTAGGTGCGGCAGCGAGCCGAAGCACGACTACAAAAAGCTCCTGCAGGAATCTGTGAATTAACCTACTACTGTAGGCTCAGAGCAATGCTGACAGCCGCGCCTGCCCAACATCCACCTTCTGGTATTTGGGCTTGACAATGGACTCCGTGTATCTCAAGACCCTGTCAAGACATCTGAGTCGTTTCCACAGGGTGATGGAAAGGTCATACTTGCCTTGACTCTCTGTACTCTCCCTGCGCGCACGGTCAGCCCTACTACGGTTTTGCTGTGTGTTTCACGCGCGCCTGCTTGTGAGTTGAGCAGAGATCTTCTGCTCGCGGAAGTACCGTCGCAAAGTCCAAATCTGGTGCTTGTAGACCCTGCAAAGATGGCTGTGGCTGCTCAGGGCAAACTTGGAAAAGCAAGAGAGCATGTGTGCACACAGGTCTCCAAAAGGCTGAAGCAAACACGCTTTTGTGCCAAAGTGGGCATTTTCATTTTTTCCAGTGCAATTACTGCGCCTGGCGTGGTAAAGTGGGCACCAATGCCATGATAAAACGATCTCAAGCGACGGAAGCGTAGAGAGTAGGGATTGCAGGTGCTGTCTACGATTCTCTAGCATGCTAGCCGAGACCCTAAACCATCAGAGATCACCGAGACGACCACTGCAAGACCACACCCAGACTGCCCAGGCTACATACATCTTGGGACAACTCCAACGCCCTCGCACCCTTCAACCAAAACAAAAAGAAAATCATAAACACCCAATGTGGGACCTGTCAAGACTGTAGGACCTCGAATGATTGGAACCGAACCGTTCCCTTCTTTCCCCTGTACAGTGACACAGCTAGCCTGCAGCCGAGATCAGACGTTGAAAGAGGGACGGGGTTTCGGAGTCGATCCCCCTCGGGGCCGGACGCGTTGATGTCTTTAAGGTTGTTGGTCGCGGCAGTAATCGAGCTCACGGTGGAAGAAAAGACCACCATGCCGAGAACCAGCACCTAAATCAGCTGATAGTCATGACCATCGTGAAAATCACTGTGAAGCTAAACCCCCTGTGTTCTGCGGCGTGGAACAACTGAAGTAGGACAAACCAAGAATCCACTCTCTCGCTGAAACTAGGATGCCGGCTATCACGCTGTACAGGCGCTCAAAGCCTGTGCATGGACGATTCAACCCAACAGCGGAACAGGCCACATTAGAAACGTGCATCCAATTATGCTGCAGGGCATGCTGAGTCTAGCACAGGATATACCGGGAACTAGATAAATATATATATATATACATACGAGAAAGCACAACCTCTTGGTTGCGCTGCTGAGTTGAGGCCCGTACTGTTCACGGGTTGGACATTCATCGACCCGGGAGTGAACCTGATGTGAACAAGTCACTCCCGAACGGCGCAAGAGTGCATCTGGTGTGCCTCCCCTGACACAAACTTGCTTTAATCCTTGTGACAAGAATCACTAAATCGGTGCAGTGTGTTATGAGCTTCCCTCTTGCTGACACTATCTTAACTTCTGGACGTGTCCTCCAGCTGATCGGGTTGAGCCCTCACGACCAAAACGAAGTCACAACACAGCGTGATTTTCTTGTGGTGAACTGGCAACTATGGCATTGCAACACTCGTCCCTTCATCTGTTGACATTTCCCGGATAGTTGGTGTTGACTGGCCTAGTCTGCCAAATCGCTACATGTAAGAAGCATCTCCAGCTTCACACAAGGCTTTTCTCTTGCAGCAGCGCCACTGTGTGATCGACCAGTGCAAGGACGTCAAATACCTCTGCAAGCTGGAGAGCCACACAGAGCTGTATGATCCCGCATGCAACAAGTTTGCAGAAGCCATGGCTTAGGAGCGTCCAAACGCCCGGCCCCAAAGCGGGAAAGCGCAGGCAAAACTGCGTGTGTCGGGTCACTTGTACATCAGCTGCTCTCCCACCAGGCCGTTGGCCGATACCCAGGATGCCTCGAGCAGCTCTCCGATGCTCTCAGGTTTCATGCTTCTGAGAAAGCGCGGCTGAGCTGACATCCAGCGAATCTAGCGGACATACTTCTGTTGGATAGCAAGTGTGTGTGCCTCCAACATGCTTCCCTGATCGCGAGCCTCGATCACGTTCTCGTCGAGCATCTCCATACCAATGGCATACCAGCCGCACCCGATGAAGTGGGATCTTAGCAGCACGAAGCTTGAATGCCGACGATCCCTGAGCTCAGCAACACAATCGATGTGACTTGCGAGATTTCCCAATGTACATGGCATCTACCGAGCAGCATCGTCTGCAATCCCACACAAAACTGGAAAGCCGTGTGGCAACAGCAGGATCCACACCATATTCCTGGCAATGTGGGCCATGTGATGACAGCAGGTGATTGCTGCAGAATGCTGCAAGGCACCATGAACAGCTGGATCATCATCATCTGATGCTTCTGGTCCGGTCTAACCCAACTCTGGCGGGTTCACATCTGATCATTTTACTGTGCATGCTGCTCCACGGCCGAAAAACAGGATCAACCAGTGTGAATACTGAGGCTCAGGCATGATGAGCTTTTGGATGATGGAGAAGTACTGAATGTTTATGAACCTTTCTGACAAGCAGAGCCCACATCGCAGAATGATCAAAACTCCGACTGAAACATGCACGTCTTCGTGAGTGTTCTTGTTGTGGCCCCGGCTCGTCAAATTGATGGAGGGCCTTGCAATGCCAAGCGACAGAAAAGTTATGGGTCTGAAATTTTTCAGTACAGTACTGGCCCGACCGTGAATGTTGGAAATTGCCAACTTTTGAAAACAAGTACGGAGAGCATTCGTCATAAGTGTGTTCGAGAAATAGTGTCGGCAGTGCTAGCATTCTGAATCACAATGAATTCAGGAATGCCATCAGCGTCCTCACGTCTGTGAGCCTTGTTGTTCATCTGAGTTTGATGGACGCAACTGTTCAGTCGAGACGTTTAGCGTACCGACTATGCAAATACTAGTGCTCGGCGTTTACACACCGATACTACAAGCTCACCCATTGACATGCTACTGCGGACAGTATCCTTTGGCGAAGTAAAACAGGGAACTCCGCTGCAACTCCATTCATGTGTTCTTCTGGGTGTCTTTTGTTTTCGGAAACAGCTCTGTGACTGGTTCTACTGGCTTGCTCAAGGGGCAGGGAAAACCGGTAGATCGAATTTACCAATCTGCAGATTCCGCGTGGGCACAATACTCACTAGATCTCACTCGTCTCTCTCACAAGATGCTGTGGCCTCCTGAAACCTTCGGAGACGAAGCAGCCGCATAACCCTCATGATCCTTCCGGCAAGTTGGATCTAAATGAACTCATCTGAACGTGCAGCAAACGATACTGTTCTCATGGTCAGCTTTCC